TTTTTGTCTTACCATACTTATTTCATTCCAAACTTTTTTTTTAATCTATAAATTTTAGTCAAATTATTTAATTCTTCATCTCTTTTATAAAATATAATTTGTAAAATCTACCTAGGTTCCATTCCCGTACCACATAATATTTATGTACATACATTTTCTTACTGTGAATATTTAATATGATTTAAATATTTTAAATAATTGTTTTTTTAATATTGAAATTGATATTCAAAAATTTATTTGATTATATTTATTTTTATTTCATAGCCAACTATATAAAATTTATTTTAAAAAAATTATTTATTTTATGTATTAATTCAAAGAAATTTTTTTTTTTAGCAGCTATTTTGAAAGAGAGAAAAGTCAAAAATTTTAAAATTTATAGGACAACTGATAGAAAAGCAAGTAAAAATATTTTTATAATAAAATTTTAAATTAATTATTTTCAAATTAAATATATTAAGCAATCAAAATATAAATATGTACATATGTATATTATTTTTAAAATATAAATTTGAATGAATAATCTTTTTATTTGAAATTTTTCTGGTCTAAGTAAATTTATAAATACATACATATTTACATACATACATATGTATAATTTAAGATGAAATTTTTAATTAAGATTACATACTACATATGTATTTATGAATAGAGTTGAAACCATTTTATTTTTCCTTTAGTAATTCTGCAAACTTGGTTATTTTTTAATTTTCTCTGTATCAGCCTAGAATATTTTAATTTTTTTTTCGTTTTTCTTAGAACAAAATGTTCAAAGTTCTGATATTAAGTTTTATTGGTCTTTAATACTAAAAAAATTTATAAGCTAGGTACATCTTAAATAATTAATATTAGAGTTAAAAAATTAAGTAAAAAATTATTAATTATGAATTTACAGAATTTAAATCAACAAAAAATGGTAAATAAATAAATAAGATAAATTAAATAATACTTAAGTATACGAAATGTGAATTTCATTTTTCTAATTAATTTTCTTAAATAATTTTATTAAATTATTTAATGAAAGTTTAAAAAAATTTATTCAATACATACATATGTATGTAAAAACAACAATGCAATAATAATATTATAGTAATAATATGACCTGTAAACGGCCATAACCTTCTATCAATTAAATTAAATTAAATTAGTTTAAAGATCTTTTAAAAAAATTATTTTTATATAAAAAACGTGTATGTACTTTATAAAAATGTTAAATTGTCATTACTTGTTTTTAAATTTTTATTGAAAATTATATTTAACTAAAATGTAATTAAAAAAAAAAATTTTTTTCCCATAAATATTTTTGTGTACTTTCCATACAAAATGTTTTTTTTTTATCGGTTAATTTATTTTTGAAAAGATTTTCAAATTTTATTAAATAAATTTTAAAATTTTCATTGATTACGTATGTTAACCATTAGCAAATCCTAAATTCATAAAATAATTAAAAAATAATTTTATTTATATTTCGAAATATTATAAATTTTGAATAATTGAGCGCTATTACATGTATAAAATTATACTCGAAGTGGGGAACTGTGAAAAAAAAGAATTTCTTTAAAAAGAGTATATTAAAATTTTTCTTGTCCGACGGTCATTCGAATATTTACATAATCACATTTTTCCAAAATTTAACGAATTCAATCAACATTTGATCCAGCCTAATATAAGAATAATAAATTCGACTTTAGATTTATTAAAGGGAATCTAGATCAACATAGTATTTCAATTTTTTAAGTTCTTTACGACAAATTATAAAATTTTGAATAATTTTTAATTAAAAATATTTTCAATATATTTTCAGTTTTTAAAGATTTCAAAATTCTTTACTTTCTATTTGAAATTAAATTAAATTTTAAGTTATTTAAGGATTATCCATAAAAACACATATACATACATATGTATGTATATGTATGTATTTTAAAATAACAATATAAAAAGTTTTGATAAAGTGAACAATTATACAATTACATTCAAGTTCATTAACTTATTTTAAAGTGTTTAATTATTCGACAAAATCTAAATATGTAGCAAAAACAGAAATAAACGTAAAAATAAATTTTGTATTTTATTTTATCTATTTTTAAAAAATAAGATCAATACAAAATTTAAATATAAAATTAAAGAAGAAAAATATATAAAATAAAAAAGAAAATTTAATTAAATATATTTTAGTTTTTATTTTTTTTTTTAAATTTTGTAAAAATAAACTGAATTTCCAATGATTAATCTACTTAATTTGATTTAGATATTTGTCATACCTAATAATTAATCAGCTGCATATAAAAAATTTATTTTCCTCAGAAAATATTAAATATCATACTTTAAAATTTTTATAGAAAAAAATTATTTATTATAAGGCTTTTTCATATAAATGCAGTATATTGCTTACGTTCATAAACAAATGTTACTTGTTCATAAACATTGCAAAATTTTCGCATTATAGTAAAATTAAATCTCATAAACTGTTTTGATATTATAGAATAATTAAAATTATATTGCATGTTCATCACATTATTTTATATTGCATTCATTGTTCTGCATAGTTTATAAAAATCTTTATAATTATTTAGTAGATTATTTTAATTATTTTAGCAATTAAATAATTAATATTTCTATAAAATTGTTTATTTAAATTAAAGTTAATTTATAATAAAGTAAATAGTGAAATTTTCGAAAAAAGTAAATTATAAAATTTTCAATTTTAAAAGAAAAGTCTTGTACTTTATACTGCATTTGTGTTATCTAGTCAATTTGACTTGTTACTTGGTCATTTTTTCCAATTTTGCTTTTTATGCTATATTCTGCAAAGTATTGGTCTTTTTCTTTTTTTCTTTGATAATTTTATTTTGATAATTTTTTTTTAGAAAATGATGAATAAAAATTGCTCATGCATTCTATTTTCGTCGAATAATGTACATATTTATATATTGCATATACAAGTACATATATTTAAACACAAATACATAATAATAAATCTAAAAAATACATAATATTATTTTCATGAAAAGAAAAAAAAAAAATAGAAAATTGAGAAAATAAATAAGAGTATATAATATCCGAGAAATATTTCATATATGCATACTAACATATTTATACAAATAAACATAGGAACGTAGTGTATGTAAAATATATATGTATGTATGTCTTTACATATAAATAAGAATTTATTTCATTTCAAATTACTCTCGGATATTTAAAGTCCATGGATACGATAAATACTTTAAGTTTTTAAAGAAAAACAAAAATGAAATTTTCTTTCTTGGTTTTTTTTTTTTTATAAATTTTCATATGAGATGAAATAATAATAAAATTATTGCAACATAGTATATGGCTATATATATACATTTTCATACATACATACTAAAATATATTCATGTGTATGCATAAAAATGAAAAGATATTCAGTAAATTGGACACAGATCAAATGTAGGCAGTCAGAACATCTCGAAAAAAAAATAAAAAAAAATTATTTTTAAAGAAGAAAAAAAAAATTATTCTGTGGGTCGTCAAAAATTAAAAAAACAAGAATTTTTTGAAAAATTTTTAAATTTGAAATTCATAATGATTCATTTTTAAAAATATTATTATAAAGTTTTTATGATAATTAAAACTTTTCACATTGAAAATTTTAAATTTGTGACAATATAAAAATAAAATTAAACAGCAAGGGAAAATCAAAAATTTTTTGATTCTTTTATTACCAATAAATTGGTTAATTAATAAAAAAAAAAGAGAAAAAGATCAAAAAATTTTTGCCAATGAATTTTTTTTTTTTTTTCGAATTTATTATTATAATTAAAGTCTTAATCCTTAACACGTATAATAATAATAAATTTTTAATGTTGTTTAACAATCAAATAATTGAAAAAAAAAAACTATTTTTTAGCTGAGTTGAATAAGAAAAAATTTATTAAAAAATACTTTCTTAAGATCAAAATCTATTTAGGTAGAAGAAAAAATAATATTCTTAAATATGGACACTATTCGATTTATTGTACTTTAACTGTTAAAAATATATGCAATACAAAATCTTTATTACTTAAAACATGCAATCATGCATGTTTGAAAAGAAATTTGCAACTTAATTGCAACACTAAAATTTTTAATTTCATCCTATTGTATATGCGATTCAAAATAAAACCAAATTTTAATGTTGATTAAATAAATAAGCATAATGATACAATCCATTTCCGAGAACGCAGAAGCTTAAAATTTTGTATTTAAGTAGTTAATGTCATTGTATTTAGCAATTAAATTTATTATATTGCTGTATAAAACAATTTGGCGACAATTTTAAGGTTTTTGGCCACAGATAATATACTAATAACTTATGCTCAGCAACATTTTAGCTTTACGAATATATTATAAATACTTTGTGTAGTTAAAAGTAATAAAAATACATACTAAATAATTTGACATCTGCAAGCTTATATATATATATGTATGTATATTTTTAATTCATTTAAATCTTTGTTGTATATGTATATTTTCTCCCAGAAAAAGAGTTTTTCTTTTCTTTTTCTTCTCTACACATTTCTTTTCAATACGGTGTGTTTATTTTTAATTTAATTTTTTTTTTGTAACACGAAAACTCTCTTATTTATTACTAAAATGTAACATTATTTACTGAAAATTAATTTAGAAACGTAAACATTAATTACAATCTGTCAATCAAACTATCTGTCAATTTGATTTTGAAATAGAATCTCCCTCTCTTATTTACTCACATAACATACCAATTTTTTTTTTAATAAATTTCCTATGTCATTTATTTGCGCTTTTAAAAATAAAATTTTTCGCTACGAAAATTTTAAATTTATAAATATTAAAAATCAATTGCTCCAATATTAACTTCAGTTTTCAAATATCCCATAAGTTTATAAAAAAAAAAACAAGATTTATACAAAAACCATTGCAAATGGTTAACTACGATTTTTTATATCCAAAATATAGTTATTTGCTCTGTACTTGGTTTTGATCTCTTTTCATAAACTTACCTCGTTGTTGAGTTGTTACTTGACTGCTAACACGCTGCTCAGTGCGACTAATTCTCTGTTGTTGAGTGAATTGTTGTTGTTGAATTTGTTGATATTGTTCTTGAGAAAATTGTTGACGTTGCTGTTGCTGTGATATAGTACCCTGCCCGGGTACATTATCTGTAGGTCGTTGCATTTTTTAGCCAATTTTATTCTATTTTCTCTTTTATAATTAAAATAAATTTTTTTTTTTCTATTTTATTTCTTTTTTATTTCTTTTTATATATATATCGACGATATGACGATAAAAATAAAATATTAACAAATTACCGAGCGAATATAATTTACAAATGTATTTCGTAAAAACGTAACCGAACCGTTTTCATTAATAAAAATATTTAATTTTTATATATTTTTTTTTTATTTAATAATTTTCACAGTATTTTAATTAAGAAAATATATTTTAATTAATTCACTTTTTGATATTCTTTTCCTTTTTTTTATTATTATTATTAAATTTTCTTTTTATTTTAGAAAAATTTTCTATGGCACCTATTTGCTATATAGGCTCGAAGTTATATTTAGCACATAAAATTTCCAAAAATAAATATGAGATGATCGAATTTCCAAAAAGAATTTTCTTTTTCTTATTATTTTTTAATTTTTTTTTTATTTTTTCTTTCCTTGTTACATAAACACTTATTTTTTATTAATAATTTTCTTCTTTTTTTTCTTAAATTTTATATTTTTCGATTTTAATTAATTAATAATTTTAATTAACTATATTGATTTTATTTCCTTTGAAATGGTTTCCACTTTTCGGTTTTATATATGTATAAATTTTTCTCCTTTTTTTTTATAATTATTTAAAAAAAACCTTATATTAATTCTTTTTCCTTAATTATATTTAATATTTAATTAAAATAAAAATAATTATATTATTATCCCCGAGACTGAAACCAAAACGTCGATCGTTTCTAAAGTGCGAGCGAAGAATGATTCTAAAATTTCTGTATTAGAAAGCGAAAATTCACAAATATGAAAATATTTTTTTTCTTTTATTTTATTTTTTTTAACACAATTTCACAGTGCCCACTTTAAAATTTAAAAATATATTCGGGAATATATGTATGTAGAATTTTAATAAAATATATATGCATATATTTAGTGTTGCCATAATATTATTTAAATTTTTGCAATATTAGATATTTTAAAATGAAAATTTATTTAAATTCATTTTCATGTTTCATTTATGTTATTTATAATAAATATAATTTAAATATTTATTTTATGATCAAAATTATTTAAAAAAGAATTATTTTTATATCATTACTAACCTAGTGTTATTAATGGATGTACCTAAACATAATTTTTTTGTATCCTACAGAATTTTTCAAAATAGAGATGGTAAATAAGTTTTTACTTTAAATGCACACATTTAAAATATTATTAAATATTTTTTAATTTCTTATAGAAAATTGCCAAAATACAATTCTGTTCAATTTCATTACAATTTACAATATGTAAGTGTAGATGTTACAAGCAATTTTTCAAGAAAAGGGAAATTTGCAAAAAAAAATAGTAGCAAACCGTATGGTAATACTGTAACGGAAATATCGAGAAAATTAAAATAATTTAATTGTGAAAATTGGTGAGTAGTAAAGAAGAGAAAAACATTTTTCTCACATTTATCACAAAAATATAAAAAAAAAAAATATTTTTCTTACTAATATTTTTATTTTTATTTTATTTTTCATTCTATTCAACTATAAGTATGTAAATTTTTTATGTATGTGTATAATATATGTATGTGCAGTTTTATATAGATTTCGTATATATATATATATATACAATTAATATAATTTTATTTAAAATATCGCCCACAAAATAATTTTTTTTAAATCAATCAGTTTTTTTTTTATCATTTTTTGCATTAGTTTATAATTATGCATACATTCATAAAAAAATAATTTTAAAAATTTTTCAATTAAAAAAATAGTTTTTTTTTGTTTTAATTACTATAACTTAATTATTCTTTAACTTAAATAAATTTTATATTGATTGTATTTTGTAAAAATTTATTAAAACCAAAATTTTATTATTTACTTGGTCTTGGTAATGCCTGTTTTGCTTGTTTTTTTTTTTTGAGGTTTTTTAAAAAAATTTATGGTTGCACCCGCATAGTCATTGAAGTGAGATACGAGGTCGTAATTAAATATAGAAGAATATTATATTTTAAACTGTATACATTCATAAACACGAGGATCGGACTCGATTCTCTTAAGCAATTCAAAGTTAAATAACTCTATACCTTGCGTATTCAAAAGATTTTTAAATATATTGCATACATCAAGTGATTATCATCTTAAAAACTTATTCTTGAAGATTAAAATTATATTTATTATTAATTTTTATTATTTTTTATCATTTTTAAAGCTATTTATAAAATGTATATAGTATTAAACCAAGACTTGTTATTGGATGGTTAATTATTTTTTACAATTATAAATACTTCAAAAACATAGAATTACATGGTTCGAGTATTTATTTCGAATAGTTTAAGAATATTTTAAATAATATAGCAATTAAAGTAAATACAAATTTGGTTAGAGGATCTAAATGTTATATTCTTCTGAAATTATTTGAATTATCTTATAAAATGAAACTGAAACAGGAAAATAAAAATGATAACGGAATAAACTTTCTAAATTCAAAGGTTTTAAAATTTTCATAATTAGACTTTTGTTTAATATATTTTTAGTATATAGGATAAGTTCAATAACCAAAATTTGGTATTCACTCAATGCCGGAATAATAGAAAGTAGAAATTAATTAATCATATTGTAACGGTCGACTTTTTTTCTATTTGTTTTTTTTTTTTTTATTTAAAATGTTTATTTTTATTTTAAAAGTTCACGTGCGATTCGGTATAGCTATCGTATAACGTCAAATCTTATATTGGTTTCTTTCCTAGTTCTTCAAATTTTTGATATTTAATTAAGAATTAGTTCTACGAGTAATTAATTTTAAATTTTTTATCTGGCAATTATTTGTTGAAATTATTGGGATTTCACGACTCTAGATTGTAAGTTTTCGACTATGTGGTTTTGATTATAGCTTGCTAAACCATTATAATCGAATTTAAATCCTTATACTTATCAGAATCAGAATTAATCAAATTTAAAGTAAATAAACAATATAAATGTACATACAAACAATGTGACTGTAATAACTTTTAACTGATCAAATAATGAAAAATTGAAAAATATATTCTATATATTTTTTATTAAGTATCGCGATAAAACATAAATTATTTATAATTCACTCAAAATTTTTATTTATAACTAAATTAAACCAAAATAATAATCAAATTTATTGACTGAGTTTGATGGTTCTTTCTCAAAATTTTTAATAAAGTTCTTAATTTTATGGGTGTATATGTAATTATAGTAATTAAATACAAAAAATCTATAAAATTAAAATTTTTTTGCATATTTAGCTATATTTTAAAATTTATTATTAAAAATTTTTATGAATTAAAATACAAAATGTTAACATATCCTATACAAGGAGCCCAAACATTTTATAACATTTCCGTTTTTATTAAAAACAAAAACAAAAACCATGTTCAATTTTGTATTAACAAATTTTTATTTTGGCAAGAAAATGAAAAAGTGGCGAAAAAAAAATAAACTAACATTTTGATAATTAGCTAGACTTTTTAATAGTTTTAAGAGAAATTACGAGTATCTTTAATATAAAAATATTTTGACAATCAGTCAAGCATTTCGATAATAAAAATTTCGATTATTTAATACATTATTTATATATGTATATTATAAATGTATGTAAGTATGTATGTATGTATGCATGTATATAAAAAAAAAATACTATATTTGACATTATATGTCTAAATTTATGGACATTTTATTTTTTGTGTTTTCTTTGTTTCGCACCATTTCAATAAATAATTTACAAAATTTTCACACATGTGAAAATTGTCAATATAGAAAATTTAATACATATTTTCCAATATGATTTTAATTTAGCAGAACAAATAATTTTTTTTCTGTAAATATAGTAAAAAAACTTGTAAAATTTTTTGACATTTAATTAATTACTTTTACCAAATTATTTCTAAAAATTTTACTAATAAAAATTTAAAAAAAAGTTTATAGCATATTAAAGGTTTCCACTCATTTGATGCATTAGTGGACAACTCACTGATTATCCAACTAGTGACCGACCAAAGGACATTTTCGATATAAAATTGTAAAAAAGTGATTATCCAACTAGTGACCAACCAAAGGACATTTTCGATATAAAATTGTAAAAAAGTGACAATCATATATTTATTAATTTGTAGTTCGGAAATTTTTAAAAAAATTTATTTTTTTTTATTCACAATTTGACAAAAAATAAAATATAAATTGCCGTAATTAGGGGCAAATTTGTGTATGCGCCATACGTTTTGTGGAGCATTAAAGAAATTTTTTCTTACATAAATACATATAAACTGTTATTAATATAAATGTTGCAGTGCAAAGCTTTACTCTGATTGCTCATCACATTAATGCTCATTACATTAGTACAACGTTTTGCACTAATCAATAAAGGTCCATATTTTTTCTATATAGTGAATAGTCATGATGAAATTTTCAATTTTTTTTAATTTGAATTAATTTAAAAAACTTATGTATTTTTAAATTATATTTGTTTACTTTTTATCAATATGTGTCATGTTTGATTCAATACAAACCGAAATATCAAAAAATGAATTATTTTTTTAATTAAAATGGCATACATATTTTTTTTATAAAATATTAACCTTAAATGTACCTTGACCTAAAAATTCAATGCTAAAATGTTCATATTTTAAAAATATTGTATAAAAATATTTTACCTGTTTATGAAAAAAGGGTGTTAAAGAATTCTAAATTTATAATTATGTTTTATTTTATTTTATATAAAATTTTTTAATTAAAAAATGACGAATAGAAAAAAAATAAATTTTGTTTCAAAAATTTTTTGTTTGGAATCAAAGAAAATGTTATTCAGAGTTTGATATTTTTGCTAAATTTGAAAGGCGATATTTTGAATTTGAGAAAAAGGAAAAAAAACATTTTTTTTGGAAAAGGACGCGAGAATATTTTTGTTTTTAATTTTTTTCAAAATGTTCTAAAAATGAGAACCTGGAGGTAAAACAATATATGTATATATGTTTGAACAAATGCCTGAATGACTAAACCATAAATATCAATTATTAGACTTATTTTTCGTTTCAAATCTGAAAATTTATTCTGAAAATTATTTATTCTGAATTTATTTATTCTGAAAATGGCACTCTGATCATCTGATGATTAAAATTTTATAAATTGCCGCTATCTAAAAAATTCCGTTACTTTCTTTTTATATATAATTCAAATATTATTCATATTGCGAATGTGATCGCAAAAAAATATTTATTTAATGACCTCATAGCTTCACTTTTAAAAACAATAGAAAATTTGTTCTAAAATCATTTTATGTATGCATTTTACATATACATAACGGAATACAGGTGTGCAAAGTAAGGTAATTTTAATAAAAATTGCTTTTGATTTCTTCTAACCTAGTTTTACATGTTCTCATTGTATTTTAATTTATATGTACACTTATATCGTTACATTTTTATCTTGCAAACTAATTTTTAAGTATTTTACATTTTCAGAAATTTCTATATAATTTCACCCACATTAAAAAAAAAAATTATCCTATTTTATTCGAAAACAAAAGTTATATTTAAATAGTCACTATAATTTGTAATGATTTTTGTTCAAAACAAATTATTCAGAATATTATGATGAAGAACGATCAATTGTAAAAAAATTTGTTAAAAATTTTAAGCCAAAAATGAAACGTAACAAAAACGGAAACATTTTTATCATTTGAATCATTAATATGAATAATATTGAAATTCTAATACAGAAAAACTCTTGCAAACAATCAGTGATTGTAATTTTATAAACAAATAATAAAAAATATTATCCTTTCGTAATAACTTAGTAGTTCTA